CATTACTTGCATGGTTCTGAAATAGATCAAGTCAGAAAGATTGGAAAATCTGAAAGTCGGACATGTGCAACCACCGTGTAAAACCTTGACATAGTTACCTTGAACATACTCCTTGAAAATTAATTTTTTTGGGTCCTTGTATACTCCTTGAATAGTCCTTGATAAGTAGTCCTGAATAACCACTTCAAAAGGTCTAGAGGCTCTCTACGTTAACCCACTCACATTACTCCACTAATATATTGGATCCTATATCTGCTTGTCTTCAGGAGAGAGGGATCGTCAAGAGTCCAGTATTTCGACATCCATGGCAAAATATAAAAAGAATGGCATTTCATGTAAGTTCAACCAAGCACCTGCTTCTCTCAGCAGAAGGTTTTTATGGTAGCTAAGGTATTAGCAATGCCAGGGTTGAGGGAGACTGTATCGAGCTGGCAGTGCAGTGCAGTGCAGTGCATTGTGTTTCCTCAACCTCGGAATGACTGATAAATGCTCTGCATTGCCAGACTATGATCTTGGAAATGTGTACCCTAAAACAGACCGTCCCACAATGGAAAAGACTGGGTCGAGCTGGCAGTGCAGAACATTATGGAGCTGTTTTAGAAGATATATTTAATTATACAAGATGGCGTCTCTTTTGTCCCCTTCAACATGCTTTCAATGCATAGCAATCACTCATGATTGTAAGCTGCACGGCTACCAATAGCGCCTTAATACGCAGCCCGTAAAGTCCTCGATTGCAATGTAAAGCGCATTGAGACAATGTGAAAGAACCCCGTTATCATTTATTATAGCAATCCCTACTCGAACCAGTTTTCTCCTCAACCTCAGAATGGCTAATTGGGCAGGAGCAGTTTTTCTGCAAAAGAGCTTATTCCCGAAATCCTTATGAAAAAACTTGCTTTGATTTACTCCTCAAAATGGCTGTCAGTAAACCGCTTTGTTCGCTTTTTGTTTTGACACAGAGACGGAGATTTTTTATCGAAGCGCATGGACCACCAGAAACGTCCAAAATCGTGTTATATACCAACAGCTATAAAAAGTAAGTCTACCATCATATTGTGAATACAGAAAGAACCATCAGATGTAGACTTTTAGACTGTAAGGCTAGGGCGGGTCAAACGTCAAACTTCACATGAGCCGAACCTTACCGAAACAATGGATAACAAGGCGGTCTTCTTTCTTGTCATTAGGTTCGGCTCATGTGAATTTCTGAAGTTTGACCAGAGTCTTTAACTCTCTAGAGAACAAATCAAACAGCGAGTCTACAAGCATCGTAAAAAATAGAACCAATCAGATTTCGAGAATTTTAAATGAGCCGAACCTAATTAAAACAATGGATAACAAGGCAGTCTTCTTTGATGTCATTAGGATCGGCTCATATGAATTTCTGAAGATTGACCGGGTTCTTTAACTCTCTAGAGAACAAATCAAACAGCGAGTCTACAAGCATCGTAAAAAATAGAACCAATCAGATTTCCAGAACTTTAAATGAGCCGAACCTAATTAAAACAATGGATAACAAGGCAGTCTTCTTTGATGTCATTAGGTTCGGCTCGTGAATTTCTGAAGATTGACTGGGTTCTTTAACTCTCTAGAGAACAAATCAAACAGCGAGTCTACAAGCATCGTAAAAAATTGAACCAATCAGATTTCGAGAATTTTAAATGAGCCGAACCTAATTAAAATAATGGATAACAAGGCAGTCTTCTTTGATGTCATTAGGTTCGGCTCGTGAATTTCTGAAGATTGACTGGGTTCTTTAACTCTCTAGAGAACAAATCAAACAGCGAGTCTACAAGCATCGTAAAAAATTGAACCAATCAGATTTCGAGAACTTTAAATGAGCCGAACCTAATTAAAATAATGGATAACAAGGCAGTCTTCTTTGATGTCATTAGGTTCGGCTCGTGAATTTCTATAGATTGACCGGGTTCTTTAACTCTCTAGAGAACAAATCAAACAGCGAGTCTGCAAGGATCGTAAAAAAAATAAAACCAATCAGATTTCGAGTTCTTTCGTTGTTTTTTTTAGTTTTGGTTTATTTTTTAAGGACTGACAATCAGAGCAAATGGTGACAAAGACTTTGCAAATATTATTCCTTGAACTATTCATTATTATTTTTCCTTCCTTTATCTTGAATTGAAGACAAATTTGACTTACGTTATTCTGGCCAAAAATATGATTTTGCAATACTTATTTCCATATTTACACATTGCTCCAGGTTGCCAATCTTCGTTATCTTTTATATTTTCTTTAATCTTCTATTTGACTTCATGTTTATAACTTTCTTGCTTGACACAAATTTGTATCCCACGGCGAGTCCCAAACGCTTTTCCCAATCTACAATCAACTTCTCCGCATGATTTCAATTACTTTCCGTATGCTGCTTCCTCCTCATTGGCTCAAATTCGTTGCCAGGCAACTGCAATTTTAAAGCGACCAATTGTTGCTAAGATACGTGTTTCGTTTTGACCAATGTTGTTATGGCTCTACACCCCTCGGGGTTTCTTTTAAATCTCTTGTTAAAATCATGAAAACACAGGAGTTCCTCTAATACTACGCATCAACATGTCTCTCTACTTCTTTTCCCATCAACGTAAGTTATTTACTAAGAAAGTATCTTTTTTTGAGATACTCGAGTAATATATAATCATAACTATTATCAGTGATCAACTAGTGTGTTTACCGACATTAACTTATCAATCAGAGAATCATGAATAACACAAGATGTGAATTAATTTTTGGTCTACAATTTAGAATTATTTTAAATTTCTAAGGCATTAGAGCGAATTATATATTCCTATCATATAAAAAACTCGAGAATTGCTTTAAATATCAGGATTAGTTGTGTGTATTAAAAGTTTTCTTCAAAAAATGGATGAAACTAGCTTTGGATGAGTTGCTATACTTGACTTTCACAGGCATATTTTGACTAACAGTTTTAAAAAATCAATCGGGTATTGCCGAGCCATTGTATCATATAATTAGAAAATCTAGAACTGCTTCAAATCTTCAATCGTTGTGTGTCTAAAGAACTCTATTCCAAGAAATGATAAAACACGAAATTTCGAACTTTCTTATAACTTGTCAACTTTTAGAGACAATTTTTTAAGTTTTAAAGTTCAAGGGTGTTGGAGCCACTTTCGATATATATATAAAGATATACATATAACATTATTTAAAATTCTAATGATCTTATATGTTACAACTAGACCTTAAGTATTGTCATCATGACTTGTCAACTTTGAGAGACAAATATTTGCGAACAGTTTTAAATTTCAAGGGCAATTTGCATCGATGGAAGTAATAAATTACTTGCTCTATAAATCTTCTAAAACTTTTCAAAGGCCAACATCGACATTGTCAATATTTGTCTTAATAACAAAATGTTATTCCAATACCACCATGATATTTTCTGCTGCAGGATCTTGGAATATTTTTCGGCTATTTTATGTCTATTTAACTAAATTCTATCTTACTTTTTTAGTAACAAACATAGTGAATACTATATGTCCGTGAAAAAGTCAACTAAGGCTCAGGTCAAACGTCAAACTCTTCGTGAGCCGAACCTAAATACATCAAAGAAGTCTGCCTTATCAATTGTTTCAATTAGGTTCGGCTCATGCTCGACGTTTGCCCTTAGCCTCAAGAATTGTACAAATTAGTGCAAAGTTTTGTAGGTAATCAGTCTACTGAGGTGTACTTTACTTACTAACTCATTGTGCAATTTCTCTGAAAAATTTTTTAACGGAAATATGGGATGAACTCAACTTTCAAGAAATTAGTGATTTGCGTTGCATGGGAACAAACTTTATTTTCGTTTATTTTTTATTTATTTACTTTTTTACGTGTTATTTATGTCTTCCTACCAATGGTATATTTTTATTAAGGATGCAATTATTTGCAGTTGATGCAGTTGTTTGTTGGTTCTCTCCTGTGCTTCGAGGGTTTTTCTCCGGGTACTCCGGTTTTCCTCCCTCCTCAAAAATCAACTCCTAAATTCTAATTCGATCTTTGGGCTTTCATCTAGTTTGGAGCCTAGCTCTGTTGTGATTGTCCCACGCTGTGATACAACAGCTAAAGTTAGCAAATTTTTTTTAGATTTTTTTTGACAACATTTGTTTGTCATATATAACTGATGAAGGAAAAAAACATCTGTGGACGTATTTCTTACGCACAGGTGTACTGTGAATTCAATGGAAGAAAAAGCAAAGCATTATGAGAAATGTTACGAATGGCGACATTATATATTATTGGGCCTCCTGTGTTGTTTTCAGGTCCCGTTACCTTCTCAAGATGTGCACTTCGTTCTATAAATTCCAAATGATGATGGGGATGAAACTGACAAGTCTACGAGAATACCCCAAGGATGGATGTAAGTTCTATATGTTTTTATGTCTTATCAAACTGCTGCGATTTATCGTCCAACTCACCCTCCTCCATTCTTATAACTTTTTAGACCCTATATGATAAATTTATTCTTTGCGATTGCGATTAAACCACAGGCAGCCCAAGCGATGTATCTTTGCTGTCATATGCTGAAAAAATCGTAAAAAATAAAATTAAATGAGGTGACCTTGATCTCATGTGCTTTTTAACTTATTTTTGTGTAGTTTTTGACTGTTTTTAGCCGTTTTTTTGTCAAAATAAGTGGTTAGGCTGCCTGTGATTAAACTGTAGCCAATAAGCGGTTTTGTATTTCTACAGTAGCAGAGCCGTAGATAGCCGAAATGACTACCCCACGCAGTTACAGTAACTGAAAAAATAAATTTAAAGAAAAAAATCATTGTACGCCATTAATATTTTAGAGTTTTCAATTTTCCATCTTACACCCTGAGGGATAGTCTACCATGCTGATCATTACTGTACAAGATGAGATTGAAGCTGGTAGTGATTAATATTAACGGCCAAGTGTAGGTCGTATAAAATCGTGGGTGACCGGCACTTCGTTCTAGCTTGATATTTGGGGAGCTAGTTTTTGGCCACTAAATTAGTAAAAAAATATGTACGTGAATAGGACAAAATATTCCCGAAGGATGCGCAGAAAAAGTAAGTTTTGTCAAGCCTCCGTTACGATGTTTTAAATGTTAACCAGTCCACCATCAAGGTTCTAGATTCTGCTCATCATTTATTAACCTTCGCTAGAGAAATCAGAGAATTCTTAGATATTTGTCAGGCTTTCACTCTGCTCTCCACGATATTTCCCTAAAGAATTTTCTCATTTTTTAGCATTACGAATATTATGGCATGTAAAGTGTGCAAATAATATATTCAAGCAGAGTGCATGGATAAATGTATGAGAAAGTAAGACGAGCTATTTGATTTTTCACTGTCACTATCGATTAAACGCCAAACTCTTCGGGATTTCTTGGGAAGAGGAAAGACAAATATTTTAATTTCTTATCATAGGCCTTTTCTGAGTTTCACTAAACACTATGCATTTTGGTCAAGTTTGGGTACAAACAACACCATATAGGACATGAGCAAAATATATTTGTACTCAAATCCAGATCACAATGTATCATTGATGTTTATGACTGTTAAACTTTTTAATGTGCACTCTGTTCTAGCTGAGATTCAATGAAAGTCATATAAGACATGACAAAAAATGGGTGTCTGTACCCAATTTTAAATCACAATGCGACATCCTCCCGAACTCATAGAAGTTTTATGAAGTTGCCATGGAAACCCCCCTTCCCCCCACCCCTCATCTCACCCCATCCCATCACCCACAATATTAACAGAAACCAATACACACACTTACAGTAATTCCACGACTCGTTGTTACTTTTTATAGCTGTTAAGATGAATGGAGTAGTGAAAAATGATGCATCCGATTCGCCTGGCAGAACATCGCCAATCTCAGACCATGACAAATCTTATCCCATGGAACAAGGACTTATACAACAACCTGGAACTGGGCCCGCGATACAACTGAATGGGTCAGCGCCCAACACCCAAGACAATGTACAGGTAACCTTGTGGAAAATTATTTTGTAAATTGCACTTTCACCCCTTTCTTTTTCTCTTTTGTTTCTTTGGCTTTTTTTCATTTTTATTTTTTATTGTATTTATTTATTTATTTATTT